GGGGGAGGGGGCGACGGGAGAATCTATATAAAATTTCACGACATCAAAAAGAAGATGAAGAAATAACTAACATGATATTAAAATCATACGATATACAAACCAAAATATATATATCGCTAGCAGAATTTCAGTATCGGTTTTATCGGAGGGATGCTGGTTGTTGCGAGTTAAAACGGAAATTGAAGGTCGCTTCCGCGAGAGAAGATCAAAGAGCGTTAACGCCTGCTCGATTTCCGGAATCGACCCTGCCCTTGGTCAACAACATCCGCCGATCGATTTTACACACTGACAGAAAATATTTTCCCTTCAAATCCAATTATACTATTTTTGCCGAAAAAAAATTTTTTCAATTTAAAAACAAAAAAAAAATAGAAAAAATTGTTCCTGAATTTTTTGTAAAGAAAAGAAAACTTTCGTACAAGCTAATTTTTTTTTTGTTTTTCTTTTTTTAGAGAAACAATGACAAAAGGAGAGAAACAGAGAGAAAAATATAGAGAGAATAGAGGAGGAAAAAGTTTGAATGCAAAAGTAGCGAAACGTTGGACTCTCTGGCCAGGAGAGAACTGAATTGACCGCGGTGGCGGCGATGGGAGAAGCGAAAAGAGAACTTCCGGTAGGATGGAAGAGGAAGGACGGAAGGAAGGAGCGAAACGGGGTGAAATCTCTGGAACGCTTGCGCGATGTACCAAAATTGTTCAACTCTCGTTCATCTACTTGCTATCTCTTCTATATCGTCATGTATATACACAGGTATGTATATAAACATATTTGCCTGCTTCTAAAAGGTACACACGTGTCAATGTATTTGTCAATAAAGCCAAGAGGGATGGGCAAATTACAACGAGAGAGAAAAAAAAGAGAGACGTAATTAGTGGCAATTTACTCAAAGAGGAGAACACGCAACCAAACGCGCACCATTCAAATTTCAATGACGATTCGAAAAATAAACAAATTAAAATAAAACGCACTTTAAACACGTGGAAACGAATCAAAATCAATTATACGGGATAATTAGCTCAAGAGCGAGGAGGAATTTTTTTTTATTTTATTCCTTTTTTTAATTTCAATGGATATTATTATGTAAATGAAAAGCTGATAAAGGAACAATATGTAACTGCAATTTCCGGAACATCAATTTAAACTTTAAATTTTGTCTGAATTTTAAATGTTAATATAACAATAAAATTATAAAGTAGAAATTTTAATCGAAAAAAAAGAAAATAATTACATGAAAAAAATCAAAGCTTAAATAATTTTACTGTTATAAATAAATAAAAAATATTTGGGAAATTATGAAATAAAAGTAAAAAAAATTGTGAAATAAAACTCGAATTTCACAAAAATTGAGGGAGAGAGAAATTAAAAAAACTCTAAATATGTAAAATTAAAAAGAACTTAATTAAAAGCAAAAAATTCCACAGCGATATTAATAAAATTGTTAATTAAAGAAGACCCTCAACAATATTTAACAGCAAAAATTTTACTGGAGCAAAAAAAAAAGTTCCACTTGTTTAAAATCATCCAGCATAAAAATATTTTCCACGAATGAATAATAAAATGAACACATAGATGAAAATTTGCGCTACCTTCGTGAAAAAATTGATGCGATAAAAAAAACCTATACAAATAAATTTTTTCCCAGGAATATAATTATTTAAAGAACTTTGAATTTGTTTCGATAAAGAAAGAGAAATAAAATAATAGCAAAAATAACAGCTTTTTAACTTTAGAGAAAACGTATTTTCTAAAATTGAACCTGGAAAAAGCTGATAATTTAATTTTGCTCGGATTTTAATAGGATTCGATCGTCAACTTCGCTGGTCGATGTCCACCACCCGCGCTTTATATACAATAAAACTCTCCCTATGAACTGAAGCTTTAAATTTGAATGGTTAACGTGAACAATTTATCATTAACGAGATTGGCACACACTTTGCATTCATTGTAAAATACGTCTCAACAAAAAAATGTCTATTATACACGAATACAAAATTCTATTTTCAAATACTGATTATTATAAAATTTTTTTTCATTGATATACCTTTTACATATTCAATCTAATTAAATTTAATTTATTAGCCAGAAAATTTTATTCCAAATTTTAATTCAAAATTTAATTAATATTAAAATTATTCAAATTTCAATTCAAATTTAATTTATTTATGCAAAAAATTTTTATTTCAATTCAACATTTAATTAATATTCAAATTATTCGAATTTCAATTGAATTTTTTTTTTAAATTCAATTTAAATTCAAAATTTAATTCATATTCAAATTATTCAAATTTCAATTCAAATTTTTTTTTTTGAAATTCAATTTCAGTTCAAATTAAATTTAATTGAGTTAACCAGCAAATTTTTATTCCAAATTTCAATTCAACATTTAATTAATATTCAAATTATTCGAATTTCGATTCAAATTTTTTTTTTTAAATTGAATTTCAATTCCAATTAAATTTAATTGATTTACCCAACAAATTTTATTCCAAATTTGAATTCAACATTAAATTTCTATTCAAATAATTCGAATTTCAATTTCACAAAAATTATGAATGTTGAAATGAACTAAATTTTCATTTTGTTTAAATATTTTTGAAAACTTTGGTATATTAAATTGTAAACGAATTTAAATTCATCGTTTGTTTACTTACTTTTGAATTAATTTTTTTAATTTAAAAAATATTTGTTTATAACAAAATACGAATCAAAAGTAACGGAAATATTTAAACTAAAGAAATTCTCTTTAATTAAATGTAAAAAAAAATTCTTCAATTAATTGTAATAATTTTTAAAATTATTTAAAGAGAAAAAAAGGTTCAAGGGAACATTTAAAGTTTTTCTGAAATTGAAATTCGAATAATTTGAATATTTATTAAATATTGAATTGAAATTCGGATCGAGAATAAAATTTGCTTAATGAATTGATTTAAATTAATTAAATTTAATTAGATTGAAATTTAGGTGAATTGAAATTCAAATAGAGGAATAAAGATTAGATTTGAATAGAAGAATATAGAAATTGTGATGAATATGGAAAATTCGTGCGGATATGAAAAATATAGAAGAGTGATAATAATAATATGAAGATAATTGAGTATCATCCGGGCAGGAATCGGATTAATAAAGTGATAATTAACGTTTTGGGGTGTTGTTTAAAACGAAATTGTCGTCGATAGAGACGTCGAATTGCTGATTGTCAACTCAAGCCTTCAAATTGCCTCTTGCGCACTGACCCGCTTGTGGGAGTGCTTATTTACGTTTCACTAACAATACCTTCCAGGTACATGAGCAGGTCTTTGTTGACACATCAAAAGTGGTGTATGCACCTGTTTATTCAGAAATTCCTGCTACTTAACAATGACATTTCTCCTAACAAAGAAATAAAATTTAAATTAAAAGAAAAGTTTTTCAAAAATTCCAAAGTATAATATTAAACATAATTATGTACTTTTAAAAATAATACAATCTTGAAAGTTCCGAACGTTCAAATGAAGGAAATTTATTTTTTCTTTAAATTGAATTTTTATTGCCATAATTTTGCTTGACTGTCAAAAATATTAATTAAATTTCTAAATGTAAAATTTGTAAAATTAAAATTTTAATTTTACATTTAATTAATTTATTTATTTTATTTGCAATCAGTAATTTGGGAAAAATATGAAAAAGTATTTTTTTTCAGTTGAATATTCAAAATTTGGAAGATAATGTAATATAAAATTTTAAAAATCAAAAAAATTAAAATTTTTTTAGACAATTCGAATGGAAAAATATTTTCTTCACTCGAAGGTTCAAAACTTGTTGATCATAATTATAATTAGTTTTTCGAAAAAACGATATAATTGTTTGTAGAATTTCAAATTAAAAATGTCCCTCCGAAATTTACTAATTAAAGAACATTTATAATAACACGTTGCTAACGAAAAAAAATCATAGTCAATTTAACAGATTTTGCGCATATTTGATTGATTGAATATTTGATTATATTTGCCATCGCTGGCAAAAAAACAAAATAAATACGAAAATAGTCACGAGATAAAAAAATGCATTTTGAAAGCACTTTGATTTTTCAATTGTTACATTTTTCATTTCTGTATTTTACATTTTCAGCTCCGAATTTTAAAAAAAAATTGTGAAAAATTTTAGAAATTTAATTTCTTTCTGTAAAATTCCTTCATTTCTTTCAAATTTTATTATTTATTCCGAAAAAGTTGAATTAACCATTTTTAAATAATAAAAATTTCAAAAAAGGAGAAATTATTTTAAAAGAAATTAAAAACTGAATTCTTTTTAATTTCTTTTTAAAAAACTAAAAAGAATTCAGTTTTTAGTTTTGAAAAATGTTGAAATTACTTGTTCGGCAAAATTTTAAGGCATTTAAATATAACTTTGTGTCTGCATTTCTACAGTTAATTAAATTAGGTTTAACTAAATAAATGAAATAAATGGAATAAATGAAATTACTCAGAAATAAAAGCTTGCGATTTGAAATTTCCATCTAAGTTTACAAAATTAAAAAAGCTTTCAATTTAAAAAAAAATTAAAAGTTTTAAAATAAACTTTGAAAATTATTTTAAAAATTAAACTTTAAAGTTGATTACTTTTTAACAATTTAGCTTTTTCCCTTTTTTTCAGCTCAATTTCATTTTCTCTTTCTTTTTCACCTTTCGCATGAAATAAATCTGGAATTTCCTGAAAAATTTCTCAGTTCGCTTATTTAAGTGCAACAATTTTCATTTTTCTCCTAAATGAATTTTTTAATCTCGTGACTTTTTCCTCCGAAAAATAATTAGGTTTCAAAAAATGTACCTAAAAAATTTGAAAGTATTATTAAAATCGTATTGATGATAATTAATCAATTTTAATTGCTTCAAATAAGTAAATAAATAAATAAATAAGTAATTAAATAAATAAATAAGTAAATAAATAAGTAAATAAACAAGTAAATAAATAAATAAAAAGTAAATTGAATTAAATTGAAAAAAGGGTGATAAAAACTTTACCTCGCCAACCCCGTCGTAATAAATGAGATGTCGACGTGTCAAGACAAACCATCGTTGCTTGTAGTTAACGGGGGTGAATCGCTTTTTATTTTGGGATCTTTTCACCATAAGACCTTGTTTTATGGTGACATCGCCCCCTTTCGACTCTGCCTTCCCATCCTTCCCCGCCATTCTTGGGAGGAGGGAGGGTCCCACCCTGAAAAAAATTCATTTCATTATTTTTACATCTAATTAATTACACAATTATAACAATTAAGAAATTTAGATGTATTTTTTAAGACCTTTTTATTAAATAATTAAAAAAATGTGCTACTCAATTTTTTTTATCAATATTTTCGTTACCAACAGAAAATATAATTCAAAATATTTGTTGTTTACAGAAATAATATTTCAAGTACTTAATAATTAATATCATTAAATAAATTTCCTTCTTTTCAAAAATGTTTGAAATTTTACTTCTTTATTTAAAAATTTCGCCTTTTTTCAGATTTTAATTGTGAAAAATGTTTCTTTATACTTAAAGATAAAAAATAGCTTTTATATCAATATTTTAAAAATAAAACTTTGGAATTTACATTTTATGAATTATCTCCGAGAAAAGATAAAAGACTTATTTAATAGAAAGAAAATAAATTCTTTGAATTTTTATTTTGTAGAAAATGTTATTATGTTAGCAAATTGACATTTTTTTTATTTAGTATTGGAATGGAAGGGAATTTATTTAATTTTTAATTTATCAGAATATCAACATTGTTTTTATATTTTTTTTCATTTTTCTATCTTGACACCCAGACACAAAGGAAAACTATTTAAAAAAATAAATTTCGCCCACGTTTGCGGGATTTAAAAATAAGATCCAAAAAAAAATTGAGTACCATATAATTTCTTTGGTCAGTGAACGTGTTAGCCACTATCAAGAGGATATCCGCTGACCTTTAAAAATTTTGTAGCATGAACACACTGCTTTTAATCTTTTACAAACTCAGCAAAGTCGCAAGTTTTGAATTTCTTGTTGACCTTGCGACACCTTTCAAAATATTTACTGTTTCAAACTTTCAATAAATTTCCGTGATGTAACAAAGCAATTTTAAACCGTTAAAAATCTATAGCCAATTTTTGCAAACAATAACCACATATGTATATATTTTCTTTGGGAAAAAATTCAGAGTCTGCCTTGGTCTGGAACTATTAAATTTACGAAAATAAAAAGAATTTAATATTTTTACATTCTCATTTTTCAATCTTGTTATAACTTGTTTTATTCTGTTATTAAAAAGAAAATTATTGATGGCAACAAAGCTTTGTTTTAATCAAAGAGATTTAAGAAATAAAAACAAAATATTAAAAGAGAATTAGCAAACGGAAAATATCTCTTAGCAATAATGAATATTAATAAAAATCTCCGGAGGCTCGAGTCAAAAGAGAAAAGAACAAAGTCAAAAGGAAGATGAGGATTCTAAAAATTGAAACCATCTTATTTCCAGAAGGGACATTTTTTTTAGTCGACTTTTCGAGCACACACACGGCAAGAAAACAAAAGAGAGAAAAAAAACATAAAAAGCAGATGCAAAGTATGTATATATACTCAACATATATATATGTTTATAATTTACCATAGAAAATTCACTTTTTCCGAATATAAATAGAATAAAAGGAATAGAGAATAAAAGGTCCATTAAATAATAATTGGGAGAAAAAATAAGAAAACTATGATAATGACATACCATGCACAGCAGTTTAAAGCCACTCCGACAATGAGGAATCACACTTGGTAACAACAATCGAACATGATGACGACCGGTGCGGAATTAAAAACTTCACGTGGAATGTAAACCGAGTAAACGTGCCGACAATCTGTTAAACGATAAGGTCGGAAATTCACGCGATAAGGACCTGGTGCACGGACACATTCGATGCATCCTCCCATGTATCTCTTGCAATTAGTTTTTTGCCTGTGTTTGTGTGTGCTGCTGCTTCGCGAAGATATACACGACATGTAAAGCAGGCAAACGTGTATATATATATGTAGAACTTGTCCGCTACAAAACTGAACAAACAAAAGAAAGGGAGGGAATATTCGCGGACATCAACACCTCTCTCACTCTTTTTCAGCACGTTTAACTAGCGATTATTTTATTCACTACTTTAACAATACGGTCGACAATTAACACTTTGTATTTTTAATAAATTAAATAACGTGAACGATGTCATTGTGACATTTTTTTCTCACGATTTTTATCGATTTTCGATAAGATTTTTAGAACTCGGTGTTTTGACCTGCACTGTGAGGTTAGGTTAGATATTGTTTTTCCACTCGGACCAATTGGATTCGAGGAGGTAGCGGTTCGTTTTTCTATTGGTGGACGAGTGTGTCACGTGATTAGTCCTTCGAGCGCGCTCTTATGGCGGGAATGGGAACTAGAATTTAAAAAGGGTAGACGAAAATAATTAAATTTAAATATTAAAAGAAATCAGAAAACTTGTTTTGTTGAAATTGATACAAAAATGTGAAAAGTTTCGCACTTTGTTACAAGTTTCGTTCGCATTTGTCCTATTTGTAATTTTGTTATTTTTCTAGTCGAATAATTGCTCATTCGGGTTTTTCGATTGATTCCAAGATGGACGACGACTTTTGTCGTCTGCAACGTGCGATTTTTCGTGAATGTAAAATTCTGTTTTTTTTATGAGAAAATTGTGAATATTTTTTCATCGTAAAACACTGAATTGATAGTTTGTTACGTAATTGGATTTATTAAAATTCAGTGACTATTTTTTATTTCATCATGATTCATTTTCTGTCTTAGACGTAAGGTAAGAATTTTATTTCTCAAAATTATACCCACAACAATATAATTAAAAATCTTTCAGTAATCTTAAAGTTTGTTTTCATTATTTTATTTGCATAAATTAATTAATATTATTATTATTATTTAATTTTTATTTTAAGTTGTTATTTCCCATTGGTGGGGAGGAGACGAAGGTCGATTTGTATTTCAAAAATAGTTATTTTTCATGGCCGATGTCATTGTTTTTGTATTATAATTATTTATGTAAATGAAAATCATTTCCATTGCATCTTTGATTGTATTTTTAGAGTTTTTCTTTTATCTTTAGTTACATTGTTAAATTCGGATTGTTTTTCTTTTGTTTCTTTTATTCTGTAATTTTGTTTTGCTTTTTCACCTTTTTTACTATTTTGGCCATTTTGTTATAATTCGTTTTTTTATTTTTTTATTACTGTTTAAAATAATATATTATTATTATTATTATTATGGAATAATATATTGTTTTTTATTATTTATTGTTATTATTTTTTCTTTTATTAATAATTATTAAATAATTGCTACTATAATTACGTAATTTTACTAAAATTGAATTCTCTTTTTAGCAAAGAAGTTGAATAAAATATTTACATAATAACTGTGGAATAAAAAGGAAAAAAAATGGTCGTGGGAGTTTTTCCAGCCCTAAAATTGGGCGTTCTTTTTATCAAACAAATAAGCAAACCAATTGCCAAATTACTTGTCACACAAGCGAAAAATCATCCGGTTTTTCGGACATATTTTATTATTCCTCCAGCCCAATGTAAGTATAAATAATTTTTCTATATTAATTTCTTTAATTAATAATTATTGAATTAAAAGATATTTAAAATAATTAATTAATTTTTTTTATTAATTAATTATTGAATTAAACGATATTTAAAAGAATTTTGATTCAAAAAATCAAATTAATTTTTTTCTTCGCCAGTTTATCATTGGGCGGAAGTGAAGGCAAAAATGTACGTGATGAATCTTGGAAAACCGACAAAAGTGGCAAAATTAAATGAAGCAATGGCTATTGAATTGGGAGCGAATTTAGTTGGCGAAATGTTTATATTCAGTGTTGCCGGCGGTTGTTTAATTCTCGAATATAATCGTCAAGTGGCGAAGGAAACGAAAAAGGAGGAAATTCGTGTACAGCAAGTGCAAAAATTCACCGACGACATACAATCGCTCATGGAAACGACGAGAATTCAAGAAGCCGAAATCGATTATTTGAATAAAACTATTGTCGATTTGGCGAAAAAATCCAAAATCCAATTACCCGAGAAACCCGTTTTTAAACGAATCGAAACAATCTCAACTGAGTCCGAAAACAAGGAAGATGTAAAATTATCCCTTGTTCAACAAGCATTGGCCTTTCTGAAGAAAGACGAGGCAAAAAATGACAAACTCAGTTAATAAATTTTGTTTTTACATTCACTCGATTCTTTGAAGATCAACAGGTATTTTTTTTGTTTTCTAAAATACTCGAAGGAAACTTTTTCCCATTTTTATAAACGGAGAAAATTTTGTCCTATTGTCCAAAAATCTTTTTTGGATAAAAGGATTTTAAGTTCTAAAAAAATACCTATATATCTAAATTGCCTTTTTTATAAAAAGGTGAAAAATTCATAATCGAAATATTTCTAAGAAAAAAAAATAGGGCCAAAAAATGAGGTTTCTGGTCGGAAAGAAAACTGAGAATTTTTTTGCTCTTGACTTAATTTTATTTTTTTTAGAGAAAAAAAAAGTTTACAAAATTTGGAATTTTCTTTTTTAGAATAAAATTTATAAATTATTTATAAATCGTAGAGGAAAAATTTTTTAGAATGAATTAATTTAAGAAAAATCTTAAGTTTCTTAAATTTTTTTTTGCTCTCCAATTGTGACTCTTCATTTAAAAAAAGCCTTTTTTGTAAATATTTTAAAGTTACTACTTAATAATTAGCGACAATTTGCGAGCTCGATGTATTATATAAATATATTACATTGTACATACAAAACCATTTTTTTATTCTCATACAATTTCAATTAGTAAAAATTGATTCCCTCGTGAAGCATTTTCTGAAGAGTTCGTATCCTAGTTTCCAGATTTCGTAAATCGATCTCTAAATTTCAATTCATTGTTTAAATATTTTTAGTTATTTCGATGTTTTTATTTTAAAAAAAGAATTATAAAGAAACATTTTTTTAACGATTCATATAAATGAATGAAATATTTTTGGTTTGATTGGATCTTTTTCAATTTTAGAAACAATTCAAAAAAGATATTTTTTTAACGATTCACAAATGAACGAAATATTTTTGGTTGATTGGATCTTTTTCAATTTTAGAAACAATTCAAAAAAGAATTTCAAACAAACATTTTTCTAACGATTCACAAATGAACGAAATATTTTTGGTTGAATGGATTTTTTTTAATTTTAAAAATAATTCAAAAAAGAATTACAAAAAATATTTTTTTAACGATTCACAAATGAACGAAATGTTTAATTATTGATTGCTATAAAAATTAGAAATTAAAATGTTACATTTCTGGACTTTAATTATTGTTCTGATACTGATTCAAAAATAAATAAAAATTTAATTTGAAGAAGTAATAAATAAATTTTGAACATTTAGAACTTTAGAATCATTTTTTTTTCTAAAAGTAAAAGAACTAAAAACTAGTTTAAAAAAATTCATTACCTTTTGTTTTGAGTCGATTGGACTTTTTAGCGATACGTCGAGGCGATTCCTGAGATTTTTTCGACTCAATCGAGGAACCTGAGAAAAAATAGATCTTTAAGTTCATAATTTTCTTATTTAATACATTTAATTTTTTATATTAATTATATTTGTTTTTTTTTGAGAATTTTTTGTTTTAGTTACTTCTCGACAAAGTGGAGGCTTTACGATGATTGGACAATGCCGGCGAAGGGCTACGACTTCGACGGCAATTTGGAAAACTTTGCGACGAACGTGGAGGAGTTACTCGTCGTCTGATGAACGAAGATCGACTTCCATTTCCCGATACCTTACGATTTGCTGCCTGTTGCGTTAGTTGACGAATTTTTGCATTGAGAGACAAATTTTCGGCACGTAATTTTTGTATTTGCGAACGAAATGAAGCTCGCTCTTCGGCAACATTCTTCTCCAGCAATTTCACTGAATTCAACAGGTGCCGAGATCCTTTTCCTGCGTGAGAAATTTCAATTTTTTTGTGCTGAAATTTTTTTTATTTTTCCTCTTTTGAAATGAAGCGAAAACGGTAAATTACTATTATTTTGTTTTTTAAGAATTTTACCAGAGGATATTTTTTGTTTTTCTTGAAGGAGTTTTCGATTCGCTAACGTTAATTGCTCGACTTTTATTTGCAGATCCTTATTCACTCCGGTGGAATTTAGTCGTTCGATTTCAGACTCGAGTCTTCGGATCGTCGCTTGTAGAATTGCTGTGTCCGGAGGTCCGCAATATTCCAAAGGTAATGGATAATGGATTCTTAAGGATTTATTATTTTTATTACAAAAAATTGATTTGGAATTTTTTTTTCTTTTTTAATTAAAAAAAAGTTTTTTGAAAAATTAAAATTTTTAAATTCTTTCAAAAATTGATATTTTAAAATTTTGGAAAGTAAAAAAGGATAAAAAATTTAAATACTATAAAAGAAAGGTAAAAAATACGAACGAATTTAACGAAAATTGTCCCACTTGTTAGAAAGAAAAAATTCTCTTTATATTCGAAATTTTTTTTAATTAAAGAAAAATAGAGTTTCGAGGATTATGGCAAATTGAATTTTTTTACCGATCAAATTCGACTGTATATGTGAGAATTAGATAACGTCGATTATTATTTTTGCAATTTACTGGAGGATTAGAACCATTGTCAGCTCGACGCGCTCGTAAAAGTTCTAAATCCTCAAAAGTCAGGAGATCTAGGCTGATACTCTCACTAGTCTGAAAATTCATCCAATATTTCATTATTTCTTTTTATTTCATTTTGTTTTCCTATTTAATTATTAATTCAATTTTTGTTTGTACTTTTTATTTCATTTTGTTTTCTATTTAATTTTTAATTCAATTATTTTTTGTACTTTTTATTTCATTTTGTTTTATATTTAATTTTTAATTCAATTATTTTTTGTATTTTTAATTTTATTAGTTTTCTCAGTTTTTAATTTAATTATTTTTTGTACTTTTAATTCGATTAGTTTTCTCAATTTTTAATTTAAAATTAAAATAAAACTATTTATTTTTGAAATTTGTTTCTAATTACTTTTAAAAGTCCTGATTGTAACATCGCCACAAATATGTCAAATTGCTTATAATTTCCTGTTTTGTGAGTCAAATTTTCAATATCTAGAAAAATAATTGCAAAATTTTCAATTTATTTTGTTTATCAAAACCAGAACAAGACATTTAATTAAAAAAAAACAGTTTAATTAGAAGAAATTATTTTTTACAAATTGTATTTCTGGAAAATTGTAACTTTAGATTTTTAGAATTTCAAATTTTCGCGCCACTGTTTGGAAAGTTGAGAACTTGTCCGCCAGAGTTCGGCGAGTTGCCAATCAGTGACTCTCAATCATTTGGAGAAGACACTTGTCAACCTCCAAACAAAGAGATTTTTTTTTATTAAAAAAAACTGAAAAAATGCTCACACGCGATATCGTAAGCCGAGTGCCATTCCTCCCCAGTGTATTTATCAGCCACTGATAAATCCAAACTTCGTTGAGAATTCCCGCGAAGTGTCGTGACTTTTATTTTCAAAACATATTCTTTACCACCTTTGAATGAATACGTTGTTACCAAGTTGGGAGCCGTTTCATTCATTTCTTAAAGTTAATAACTAATGAGAATTTCGCATTTGAGGTGCTTTTTTATTAATAAATTCTCTATTTGCCAATAAATTTATTTTTCCTCTTTGATAAATATTTGTACTCAGGATATTTTTCGATGTTTGATAATAATCACGTGACCCGACGACTTAACGTCAGGAAATTTTAGGCGGTGAAATTTCGCCATGCGAGAACTTTTCAAGTGTCAAAAAAACGTCAAATTGACATTACTAGACTCAAAAATAGAGAGTGACGTGTGTGTAATCGATGCTTTACTGTCAATTATGATTATTAGTAATAGTTGTTAATTTTTGTGAGGGGAAATGAAATTTTCTCTCTTTATTGAAATACTATAGAGAATTGTTTAAATAATAAGAAATAAGAATGTGGTCCTTTTTCTCCCGTGACCCTACCAAAGATTTTCCTTATGAAATTGGAGAACCGGTCAGTGGTTTTACGAATAAAAGTATTTGGTCACTTCATCGAGCAAGACGAAAGGTACACTTAATTACTATTTTACATTTTTTTCGATCTATAACAATTCAGAATGATTTTTTACTAAACAAAAATTTTTGAGGTTATGTTGAAATTGAATTCTTGAATTTTTAATAATTTAGTTTTTGTTTTTATTTTCCTCAGCGTTTGATTTTTTTGGTCTTATTCATTAAACTTGTTTTTTTCTGTTAATCTATTTTACATACTTTTTTAATACTTTTTGTACCAAGAAGTAGAAATTTTGTTTTTATCAATTAATTCATCTTCATATTTTTTATTGTTCATTTTTTTTCGTCACATATGGAACTTACTGCGTAAATAAATAATAAAATTGATTTTAAGAATAGAAATAAATGTATTTTTTCCATAAAACTAATTTCAAATTTTTTTAAATAATAGAGTAAAGATTTTTTAAAAATAATTTCTATTATTGTTTTGCTTTCGTTTTAATTGTTCGTTTATACTAGTAAATAATCTTATAAAATTTAAATAAAGAAATTCTTTTTTTAAACAGTTTTTTAAAATTTAATTTTTAGGGTTCAACGGGCGATGCAGAAGTGTCAGTTTTTGTTTTTGACATAAAAAATGGAGGAGAATATCAGCTCGAAATTGCTAGAGCGGCGGTAAAGAGGCTAAAAACTCTGAAGCATCCGAATATACTTTCATATCTTGATAGTTTAGAGGTAAATTCTATTTTTATTTTAAACACATTTCAATTTTGGAATTTTAATCATTTTTAGTTTTTAATTTTTTCTTGAAATTTCAGACGGAAAAAATGGTTTATCTGGCGACCGAAAGAGTGAAACCTTTGCACAGTCGTCTTGCGACAATATCAGAAATTGGCGAAGGATCGAAACGGGAACTCTACTTTTCCTGGGGAATATTTCAAATAACGGTATTTGAATTAATTTTTTTTCGTATTTTATATTTTGTATTTTTTGTATTTCTTTTGCATTTTTTCAAGGTCAATTTGATATTTCAAAGTTATTCAATTTTTACTAATTTCCGTTTAATTTTATCTTAATGAAGAATCAAATTGCTTCCTAATGTTTTCTTTCTTTTGGAGAGATGAGAATTTCTTGTAAATTGTATTTTAATTTCTTTTAATTTTGTGTTACGATTTTTTTTTCAAAATAGAGAATTAAATTTTTGAAAATCCCTTTACAGAGAGCTTTGAGCTTTTTAAATAACGATGGAAATTTGCGACACAATAATGTCAATATGTGGTCGGTGTTTGTCAACGAAGAAAGCGGAGAGTGGAAACTCGGTGGCGTTGAATATATGACAACAATCGATTCCCTTTACACAATGTTGCCAGCAGCTTTACAACATTATCGTCCACCCGAAGCCAAAGAAAATTCAAAAACCACCACCAAGTGGTAACACTCTTTTTTTTAATTATTTTACTCAATTTTTTTATTTAGACATGAAGAGAAAATAAAAAGAGAGAAATAGAAATTAAATAATAAAGATTATTTTATTCACAGTTCGATTGACATGTGGGGTCTGGGAACTTTAATCTGGGAGACATTTAATGGACCACTTTCTTCCACAATGAATCTTGAACAGAAAGAAAAGGTAAAAAAACAAATAAAGAAATAGAAAAAAATGTTAATTTACTTATAATTGTAATTTTTCAGATTCCACGACAATTGTTGCCAGTCTTCCAGGAATTGACGGGACTGAATGCGGAGGGAAGACCAAATCCAGCGGATGTGATTGCTCGTTGTCGGAGTAATGGGGGATTTTTTAAAAATGATCTTGTCGATGCTCTCTTATTTTTGGAGGAAATTCAAGTGAAGGAACGCGGTGAGAAGGGTCGATTTTTTTCACAACTCGCGAGTCAATTGGATTCATTTCCCGATGGCGTTGGAAGATATAAAATTCTTCCGCTACTGGTGGCTGCCTTTGAATACGGCGACGCTGGCAGTGCCGTTCTACCGCCACTTCTTCAACTTGGTCGTGAATTGCCCGATGCTGAATATCAAAAACGTGTCGTTTCCTGTGTCGTTAAATTATTCGCCTCCAATGATCGTGCGACGAGGCTTCATCTTCTTCGACAGCTCGATCAGTATATCAATCATTTGCAGTCGGCGACTGTTAATGAGGCAATTTTTCCACAGGTGAAAAAAAAATGTTTTCTCCTTCATCTTGAATTTCTTTCTTCTTGTTTTTTAACTTTTAATAGTTTTAAATTAATTATTTTATTCTCTCATTTCTTTTCAGGTCGCTCGAGGATTTTTAGACACAAATCCAACTGTTCGAGAGCAAACGGTAAAATCGATTCTTCACCTGGCGCCGAAATTGGACTACAATAATCTCAATGTCGAAGTTTTGAGATATTTCGCGAAACTTCAGTCAAAAGACGATCAAGGCGGAATTAGAACAAATACGACAATTTGTTTGGGGAAAATTGCTCAGCATTTGCATCCACAAATTCGACAAAAGGTTATTTTTTTTCTCTTTCTTGAATCGATTTTAATTTCTACGGAAAAATAATAATGATTAAATATATTTATTTAATTCTATTTGAAATAATTTTGCAGGTGTTGATAGGAGCGTTTATAAGAGGAACGAGAGATCCATTCCCACCGGCAAGAAGCGCAAGTATTTTGGCATTAACGGCAACGCAACAATATTATTTACTGCAGGAAGTGGCGCAAAGAATATTACCGGCCATGTGTCCATTGACAACTGATTTGGACAAAGGAGTGAGGGACAATGCTTTCAGGACAATTCGAGGATTTCTCTCGAAGCTCGAGAGAGTTTCTGTTGATCCAAGTCTCCGAGAATCAATGGGTAAATAAAAAATCGTAATTTCTTTGAGGGATTAATTAAATAAATTGATAAATTATAAATAAATAAATTAATAAATTAAATTAAAAGAAATTAATTAATTTATTTAATTAAATTAAAAGAATATTTTGGTAAATTGTTTTCTTTTTTTAACAGAGGCGGATGTGAATACGGCGACTCCGAGTTTGAGTAATGCGGCAGCGACCTGGGCCGGATGGGCCGTCACAGCAGTCACGGCAAAATTCTATCGCAGTCAATCCGACACGCCAAAATCTTCCAATGCCTCTAGAATTTTACTCAATAAACCCGCGTCACTGGGTAAATTTTAATTTAATCACTGTACTAATTATTACTATTCTTCTAATCACGAAATCAATTTAAAATATTTGAGAAATTGAATTTATTTTGAAAGAGAATTTTTTTGAAAGATAAGAAATAATTTTGAATTTTCAGAGCAAGCGAGTAGTTCGCAGAGTAGTGCGAGTACAACAGCGACGACGAGCAGTGCGACGAGTATGACGTCGTTGGACCACGATCACGAGCACGACCCCCAGGTGAACGTGAATCCGAATCAGGAAAACGATTGGGATACCTGGGAGAATGGAGACTGGGGCGATCTGGAGCAACAGCCGTCGACGGGAACTTCGACGAGTAACGCTTCGCCCTCCTCTCATTCGCTGAAAGTTCACGAACCCTGGATCAGCCTCGAGGAAAAACCGGTTCGTTTTACACTATTTTTCTTTTATTTTTCTATTTATTTTGCTTCCTCTCAAAGGAAGTTTTAATTTCTTTTTATTTTTAGTTTCTCTAAAATTTTATTCAAGTTTAAGTAATAGATTTTTTATTTAATTCTTCTCCCTATTTTGTTTTCTTTAAATATTTTCTATTGAGTTTAAAAAAATAATAAAAAATAAAAGTAATAAAACATAATTTATTTTAACCCTTTTTAATAAAAGGAGGAAGAAGCAGCAGAAGGAGGTCAAAATACAAAAGAATCATTAGAAATCGGTTGGGAGGATGGAGAATTTCAACCATTAGAAGAATTCCCCCCACTCGAACCTGGTAAGCATTAAATTATATATTTTTAATTTCAAAAACTAAAAATAAATTTATTTCCCCCCACAGTCGTTCTGGGACCAACAAATCGTTTAGAGGAGACAAAGAAGAAACGCGAGGAACGAAAATTGGCCCGACATCGTGAAATCGAAGCAAAACGAGCCGAGAGACTGAAAAATAATGCGTCTCATCAAAAAAGTCTGATTTAATTCGATAAAAAAAAAGAAAATCAAGACTTTGAAATTTTTTCAAAAAATTAAACAGTTAAGTAAACGAAATAATTTAGCAATTTAAAAATATCCGAGTAATATCTAATAATCATTACATGTGAATAAGTTTTTAAACCGAATAATTCAAGTTCCATTATTTCCAATATTGAATTATTCGATTGTATAGAAATTTTACTAAATTGATTAATTCGATGATTAGTTTAAAAAAAATGTATATTAATGAATGCTAATTACTATGGAAGTTAATTAATTGCCTGTACTTACAATTAATTAATTGACTATTACTAATTTGAAGAAAATTATAATTATACGGAAAGTAATTATAATTCAGATTTATAATAATGGCAAAAAGTGTTTAATTTAACTTCAGTTTCTTTTGAAAAAAAATCTTCCAATATTTCTATCGTTTTTTTTTATCAAGGACACAAGTGATTTCATTTTTGTAAAATCCTTTTTAAAATTTTATTCTTGAAAATATACATTTCTTGAAATCGTTCGTTTTCGAAAGTCTTTATTCTCGAATGAGATTGGAATGATATAAGAAAAATATTTTAAATGATTTTTAAAAATTAACAAAGTGAGATTTCAAACTTTTTTATAAAAATTTGTTTTTAAATTCTATTCATCTACAATTTGAAATTGATTTAGAATTGATTTGAAATTGATTTTAAAAAGTAATTTTTAAAAAATATGTATTAAAACAAAAGTTTTTTTAATTTTCTGGTATAAATAATTTCTGTTAAATTATAAGTGGAAAAATTAGCGAACTACTGCACAATCATAAATGTGATTGTTCAGTTTGATTGAATCGTGCGTTCATTTGATTTCCATTTCCAGGTTCGAGTACGAATCCTAAACTTTCGTAGAATGGAATCAATTTGTCTTTACAATCGAGCGATAATTTGTAACATTTCAGTTGCCGTGAGAGTTGTGTCACCGCCATCACGAGAATTTTCCCCAATTGTTGTCCCCGATACGTGGAATTTACAACGACGTCCTCCAATCGACCACGCTGAAATGGATTTCAGAACTCAATTTTTTCGTCATTTTTTTCCAAATGAAAAATTTTGCAAAGGTTTTTATTCAATTTTTTTTAAATTATATTTTTTAATTACTTTTTATCGTTACTTTCAAAAGGAAACATTTTTTCTTTTTTCATTTTATTGCAAGTTCAATGAAAAACAATTTCTTTTTCTTTAATATTTGATAATTTAGTATTTAAAATGTTTAATAATTAAATATTTACAATATTAATAATTTACTATTTTAAATACTTATTAATTTAATAATTACAATTTTTAATCATTTAATATTTTAAATGCCTATTAATTTAATATTTGCAATGTTTAATAACTAGGTTAATTTTTTAATTATTTTTTTTATTTTTAATAATTCAATATTTTAAATATTTAAATATTAGAGAAAAATTTAATTTCCTTCGTTAGATTTTCAATAAAATGAAAATTTATATATATTTTTGAAAAAACTCACCAAACCGCAATTGTGAATGAATTTCTGTTCAATTACTAAAGTAGCGCTGCCTATAATTTTTCCAATATTTCGATCTTCTATCACAATTACATAATAACCACCGGAATTTTTCATTTTTGCAAATCTACCTGAAAAAGGAGGAAATATTAAAATTTTTTTTATTCTTCCTTTAAAAATTAATTGTGTAAAAAAGTACAACTTACTGATAAATTGATCTTCTCCTATCGATCCGACTTCCGTAAGTTGGCTCAAAAGTTGAGTGAAACCTAATTAACATAAATTTTAAAAAAGTTTAAATCTTATTTCATTCATAATAATTGGAATTTTTTGAATTACAATCTTTTTTATTCTTTTGTTCCGGATTTTCTTTAATTTTTAAAGAGTTGAACTAATTTTTATTTTCTTTCTTGCAATATGGGAAATTAATAGGAAATTATGTAAATTTAATTAATTATTAAATTAAATTATTAGAAAATTAAAATTTTACCTTTTCCATAGTCATTCGTGTTTAGAGGTCGGAGAATCAAACTGGGATCTCGAGGCAATGTTTTTAATTGATTCAGTAAACATGAACTAAATAAATCCATTTTTTCGGTAAGTGAATTACTTTCTTTGAGCTGAAAAGATAATTTCAAAATTTTTATAAACTTGGTACTTGTTGACTTGGTTTATTTTGTTGACGTGTAGAAATAAAACACTTGAGTTTTATATATATTAAATCGTCCTTTATTAATAATATTAACAGCACACGCTAACTTTAAACGTAATCTCAATAGTACTTTTTGTTTTTTTGTAATTAATAATTTATATTTCTTTGTTTACTCAAAACAATTATTTAAAAATATTTTATATGACATTCTATTTTCGCTTTTTCGTGAGTTTTTTTTATTTTTTCGTTAGTAATTAACGTAATTAGTTAATTAATTAATAAATAGTAATATTCATTAATTAATAAATAATAATATTAATTAATTCCTTATTAATAAAAGTTAAAAGGTAATTAAATAGAAATCAATAATAAAAGGTAGGTAGGAGTAATTAATAAAAGTAAAAAATATAAAGCAATGTGAATAAAGATTATTACTAAATATTTATTATGCAATGAAATAATTTTTAAAATATGGAAGTAAAATCTCACCAAATTCGGTACAAATTTTAGAAAAAATCAAACTAAAAACAAAATTGAAATATTTAAAAATTTAAAAACAAGATCCTTATTGCGCTAAAAGTAACGCGATTTCACTGTAGATGAGACACGTCACTTGGTTTTGATTTTTTTCGAAAATAATCTCCAGTAAATAAAAAGAAAACAGTATAAGAAGAAATATCAGGTTAGGTTAGGTTTAAATCAGAACCTGTTTGTTTTGAAATACCTTAACACACGTGTCAAATTCCGCAGTTTGACAGTTATAATCACAAGAATATAAATTTTTAATCAGTTTTTCGATAACAATGAAAAATTTGAAAAAAATAAATTGAGGATATAACATATGGACTTACCGTCTCGGATACATCCATAATTCAGAAATTTTTTTCTCTGTCCAAAAAAAACTTGTTTTCGCCTACAAAGGCCCTTTCTTGTTCTCCCACTTTTGCCTTCTCCGACACACAAATTCCTTATGAAGGTTTTGACATTTGTAGACTTTCACGGAAGATTGAAAACTATTACAAAATAATTGTTGCCGCAAGGGTCTTTCGACTTTTCACTGTCAAGGCAGGAAACGCAGGAAACTATTTTTGCTTTTTCCGAACCTCTCGAACGATAAGGAAAATTTACTTTTCGTCAAAGATAAAGTTTATAACGATTGATTACGATTTAAAAGCTAGTAATCCTAATTGTCATTCAATTGACATTGAAAAATAATTATCTTTAGAATTTTTCTTAATTTCACCTATATCTTTCTTGATAAATTCAATTTTTTTTATTGTAGCGATTTTGGTAGTAGAAATTCCAAAAATATTTGTAATATTTTACAAACAGTTTCTTTTTCATTTTATACATTCTTATAATTTTCAGATTTATGTCAATACTATTTTACATTAATATTAATAAACAATGCCCCACTTTACAGTAAAAGAAAATTCCCGCCGAAAATTTAAAATTCGGTCGATAATGCATTGTCACTGTTTTATCGACTGAAGGATGCCACACTTTTGAGGTTATGTACGTTATGGCGCATAGATGAAAACACTGCCGAAACTTTGAAAAACGGAGTAAAAGTTTGTAATTCAATTAATATAACAGTAATTATTAATAATTGCAGTGGATCTATAAAGAAACGGTAAATTAATTTTTTCGTTTATTAATTAAACATGGGAGTACCCGCATTTTTCCGATGGCTAAGTCGGAAATATCCGTCGGTTATTGTCGAATGCATTGAACAAAAGGTTTGTATTTTCCTTCACTATTGTTTATAAGTAATAATTCATTATTATTAAGATTAATTTCATCTTTAATTTCATATAAAAAATGATTACTTTTGTATTAATTTTATTTTTTCTCATAATCACATTGTCGACTCGCATTATCGAGACTCGGAATTTTTAGGTTATGTTTTTTATTTGCACTTTTGCAAAGTGGTTTTTTTTTTATTGATTTCTAAATATTGTTAAACACATTGCGCATGGGAAAATATATTATTTAATTAATTTTGTTTCTATTTAGTAGTAAATTCATTAATGCGACTAAATATTGTTATTTTATGTTATAGGTTATAAATTATATTTTTCATTAATTATAGGTGTTAATTATTTAGTTTTAATTTTAATCAAACAGCTTTTGGGGTTTTTTTTTTTAAAATAACTTTTTTCATGTTATTTCGCAATGTAACGTTTTTTGTAATATTTGGAATGTAAATTTTTTTATTTGCACATTTGCAAAATGTTTTTTTTTTATTGATTTCTAAATTGTTAAACACTGTGCATGAGAAAAAATATTATTTAATTAATTTTGTTTTGCAATTTCGTTTATAAATAAAATAATTATATAAATATAAATATGTAAATATAAATAGAAACATAAATTATAAATAATTTTGCTATACATTTTATTAATTAGGTGTTGATTATTCTGTTTTAATTTTTAATCAAACAGCTTTTGGGGTTTTTATAAAAAAAATTACTTTCTTTAATTTTATTTCGTAATGTAACGTTTTTTGTAATTTTTGCAATGTAAATTTTAATTATTAGAACTTTTAATTATATTTTGTGAAATTTCAGTCAGTGACGATTGATGACACTCAGGTGCCGATAAATTCGGCCGAACCGAATCCAAATGGGGTGGAATTTGACAATTTATATCTTGATATGAATGGAATAATTCATCCATGCACACATCCGGAAGACAAGTAAGAAAAAATTTATTATAAGTGTAAATAAAAAGAAATTGAATATTTAAATTTGCTAATCAATGAAATTTACAGACCGGCTCCAAAAAATGAAGACGAAATGATGGAGGCTATTTTCGAGTGCATTGATCGTTTGTTTCGCATTGTGAGACCAAGAAAATTGCTCTACATGGCCATTGATGGAGTTGTAAGAAACCTTCAGTTTTCTAAATATTTTCAACATTTAATTAATTCTATTAATTTGATTATTTTAATTTAAAATTTTTTAGGCGCCAAGAGCAAAGATGAATCAACAAAGATCGCGTAGATTTCGTGCCTCGAAAGAAACGGGTGAGAAAATTTTGGAAATCGACAGAATTCGGAGTGATTTGCTATCAAAGGGAGCGTATCTACCACCGGAAAAGCCGAAGGGCGAACACTTTGATAGTAATTGCATTACGCCGGTAACTAAATTTTATTTAATATATTTTAAATATTTAAAAATTTATTTGTTTCAAATATTTTTAAATTTATTTATTTATTATTTCTCGAAGTTAATTGTTCTGTATAGATTATTAATTATTGGGAATTTTTAGGGAACACCATTCATGGCGAGACTGTCGGCATGTCTTCATTATTACATCCACGATCGATTAAATACTGATCCGGGTTGGAAAGGAATTAAAGTCATTTTAAGCGATGCGAATGTCCCAGGTGAAGGCGAACATAAAATCATGGATTACATTCGACGTCAAAGAGGTATTTTTTTTAAAGAACTAGAATTAAAATTAAAAAATAGTTTTGAACATTTGTTTTAACACCAGTTTTTAATATAAAAGAAAACAATTTTTATTGATATTTTCAAATTAGTAAAATAATTAAATTAAATTAAACACTAAATATTCAATGAAATTTTAATTTAATTTTCTATTCGACAGCTCAACCGGATCACGATCCAAACACACAGCACGTGTTGTGCGGTGCGGATGCCGATTTAATAATGTTGGGACTCGCGACTCACGAGCCGAATTTTACAATTATTCGTGAGGAATTCAAGCCAAATAAGCCGAGACCATGCGATATTTGCGGACAATTGGGTCATGAGATGAAGGATTGCACTGGCTCTGAGGCAAATGCACAGGGCGAGGAAACATTTGGCTCCGAGTGTCAATTTATATTCGTTCGTTTAAATGTATTACGCGAATATTTAGAGAGGGAATTACAAATGCCAAGCTTACCGTTTAAATATGATTTCGAAAGGGCAATCGACGACTGGGTGTTTATGTGTTTCTTTGTAGGAAATGACTTTCTACCGCATTTGCCGTCCTTGGAAATTCGCGAGGGCGCAATTGATCGACTCGTTAATTTATATAAGAAGACTGTATATAAAACGGGGGTAAGTTATTTTTTCTTTTCTTTTTTTTGTTATCATTATTTTTCTTAGCTCAAAAGATGTATTGATAGTTAAATTCACTTAAAAAATGTAATTTTTTATCTTTCTTAATTTTTAAAAACTTTAATTAAATTATTTTCTTTTCATATAAAAATTTCATTGGAAAAAATCCACTTTTCAGGGTTTCTTGACCGAAAATGGTGACGTAAATTTGGACAGAGTACAATTAATAATGTCTGACTTGGGAAATATGGAGGATGAAATTTTTAAAAAGCGACAACAGAATGAATTGGCATTCAAGCAACGGGAGAAAAATAAAAAGCGAAGAATGGAGGCAATCAGTAATTTTAAACCGCAATGGGTTCCGTCTGGACAATTTGCACCTGTTGTGAGTATTTTTTCTTAAATATACACAGTTAGCCTCATTATGTTTTTTAATTTAATTATTTATATAATTTTAATCATATTTTCTATTCAGTTATAGATTAAATAATAATTAGCGATTAATTAATTATACATTAAATACTAATTAGCGACTAATTAAAATTAAATAATAAAATAGAAATAGAATTGAAAAGATTGAGGAGAGTAATTTTATTTTTGATTTTTGAATATTTATTTAACTATGTATAATTTTTCAGGCTCTGGGAAAATCTGTGAATCCGGTTCATAATGCTAGACAGGAAGCATATTTAATGAGAGTAGAGGGTAGAAATTATAATACGAATGCAGCGGATCGAGCATTAAAAGGAATAGATGCTAAAACTGCTCTTCACAATATGATTGTTCCTGAGGTGATTGTAATTTATTTTCTCAATATTATTATCATCATTTGTGTTGTTTTAACTACAATTATTATCAGTATTATTATTATTCTATTTCCTTAATACTGGGTATTATTCTAGTATTTTAGTTATTATTATAAAATAATTACTATTATTTGCTATTAAAAGGGTCTAAGTACTGTATTATAATATCTTTTATTTTTATTATTAGAAAATAATGACAAAAAAACGGTTTTAACGAAAAGGAAATAATTATTATAATAATGAGTAATAATAATTAGTAAATAATAATTATTATTTTTGAATAATAATAATAATAATAAAAATAATTTTAATAATAAAGTAAAAATATATTTGTTTACTTTAGGATTCGGATAAAAGGGGGCAAAAACGTAAAGCCGACGAAGGAGAGGAGGAGGATGATCAAGCACACGACGAAGTTCGATTGTGGGAGGATGGATTTAAAGAACGATATTATGAATCGAAATTCGATGTTATGCCGGAAAATTTTGCATTTAGGTTTGTTATTTTCTTTTTCTAAACTTGAATTGGAAAAATATTTTTTTTTAATCGTATTACTTTTTTTTCTATTTGAAGTTCTTTTTTTACTAATTTGAAATAGGTAATATTATTGATATTTGTTTTAAAATTTTAATTAAAAAGACAAATTGGCTACTTATTTTTTAAAAACGTAATTGAATCATAAGTTTTACTAGAAATGAATGAATCGTAAGTTAATTCGAAGAAATATTTTTTTTTCTCTTTTAGAAATAATGTCGCGTTGCAGTACGTTCGTGGACTTTGCTGGGTGTTAAGATATTATTATCAAGGATGCGCGTCTTGGAAATGGTATTTTCCTTACCATTATGCGCCATTCGCGAGTGATTTCATCAATATCGGTGGCCTTTCCACGGAATTCGAAAAAGGAACAATACCTGTAAGTTTCTTTTAACCATTGGATATTTCTCACTAAGTAGTGATTTTGATGGTATATTTTTACCTAAAATTTCAAATTTTCAATGGTAATATTTTTACCTAAAATATTTATTTAATATTTTAACATTTTTAATTGCTTTCTTGTTTAATTACTTTTCGTTAATTACTTTTTCAATTTTTTTTCTATTTTTTTTACAATTTACTACATTATTTTCTTTTTAAGACTTTTTTTATATATTTTATTATTTTCTCATATTTCATCTATTTAGTTTTATTAAAAATACTGTCGTTTAATTTCTTTTTCATTTCTTATTATTTTTAGTTCCGCCCTCTGGAACAATTGATGGGCGTGTTTCCGGCAGCGAGTAGCAATCACGTGCCAAAACCTTGGGCAAAATTAATGAGCGATCCGGTAAGTTGTTTAATTAACGGAATAACAATGTTTATTTTCTTTCATATTTTTAATTATCATTTAATTTTAATTAATTATTACTTCCATATTTTAAATTAATTTATATTTGATTTATTTAATTATATTGGGGTAAAAGAATTAGTTAAACTATCGATTTTTCTTCTTGGATAGACAATTTATGTCCTTAATTATCTTATTTTTAATTCTCTGTAATTTATTTGAATAATCTAAAGCACTATTTTTTGAATATTTTTTCAGAAATCAACAATTATTGATTTTTATCCAGAGGATTTCAAAATTGATCTCAATGGAAAGAAGTTTGCGTGGCAAGGTGTCGCTCTATTGCCTTTCGTTGAAGAACAACGATTATTCAAAGCCTTGGAGCCTTATTACGAGTGCCTCACTGAAGCAGAAAGTAAATTTGTAATTTAATTCGTATTTAAAATTTCTTCATTTTAATTTTCTTTTTAATTTTTATATTTTTTTATTAGGTATGCAATTTATTTTTTAATTTTTATTTCTTAAATTTATACGTATTTGGTTATATAGCTAAAAGCAGAATGATATTTTAATATGTTTTTACATCTTTATTATTATTTACTTCGAGTATTTATCTTTTTTCAAAAAATTCGTTTCTATTTTTTATATTTTATTTGCAAATTTTCGCTCCCCTTTTTTCATTCTTTCCTCCATTAAAGTTTTATTATTTAAAATAAAAGAGAATTATTTAATTTAATTTTCAGAGAGACGTAATGTGAGAGGTGACGATAGACTCTACGTGGAGCCTTCAAATTCGCAATTTAATTTTATAAAAGGTCTTTATACGAATCAAGTGAAGAGAGATGAGGAGGTCGAGGTCTCAATTGACGGAATGCGAGGAGCTGTCTTATTGGCCGATGATTGTGTCACGGAAGGTGGAACACTTCCGTCGCCTACAAATCTTGGCCTTCCGGTTCGCGGCAATCAAGTCTACTGGTAATTGATTAATTTTTATTAGCAAATTTTTTCCCTTTCTTCTGTAAACTTTGAGTTTCAATGATTCCAACCTACTTCCACACTCAATAAAACTTGTTTTCTATTATTTTATTTATCTCTTCTGTTTACAGTGTGAGGTTTAGAGATCCAAAGTACGCGGACTCTTTTATATTCCCAGCGAAGAAATTGAAGGGCGCCATCGAGCCACAGAAAGTTTTGAAACCACAAGATTTTGAGCAAATGAATCGAAACACCGGAAATCAGTGGAAGCCTCAAATTGGTTTCACTCGCTCTAATCAGGTTGCATCTCTCGGAACGGCTGGACATCGAATGCTGGGGTAATTTCTTCATTTTTTAAATATCAAAATTTATTTAATTTTGTATTTTATATTTATTGTCTAATTTTGTATTCATTGTCCAACATTACATTTATTAAATTGAAAATTTTTGCTTTACAGACATCATACAGACAATAATAGAACGCCTGGAGTTTATGGTCATGTGCCACCACCGCAGAGTTTACAACAGCACCAACAACATCGCGGTAAGTTTTTCGAATTTAAATTTTACATAATTTTTAAGGTGGAAGGCATTTTCTTTGGTAAAAAATTGTTTTTGAAAAAATCAAAAGACATAAAACGATGATTTTTTTCAACTAATATCGATATATATCGAGAAAGTGTAAGAGTGTCCCATGATCATAAAAACAAAATGCGAGGGTCAAAATCGCGGGTGTGATTGATATACGGCTGGCGTAAATGCCAAAAACACGCAAACTCAATGCCTATAAGTTCTTCAAAAGGGGGGAAAAATTGTGTGTCTGGACCGGGAAAATTGTTACATTTCACGCCAAAACAGTGTTGCTATAATAAGGGATCAAATTTTTCCGGTAGGAAAAAAAGTTTTGGACATGAAAAATGATGGAATATTATTCTATGATGAGAAAAAAATATATTTATATATAAAACCAGAAAAATACGTGACGGAAAATTTTAACAGAAATTAAGAGTATTAAATTTGAAGATAAAAAAGCGAAAAGAAAATTAGCTAATTAGAATCACAAATTTAAATTTTATTCATTTTTAATTTTTTTCGAGTACAGTAAAGTGATTTCAATAATTTCAATAGAAATTAGGAAGACTAGGAGAGAAGGGGCAAATTCTTGCGATCCTACAGAGAATATAATAAGGGGCGTGGGCCCAGTGTTTGCACATACATCAAATTTACGACGAGGGTACAAAACGAGGGTGAAATAGGGTTCAAATACCCCCTCCCCCTCAAATATAGTCTCAAAAAGTCAGTCAATCAATCGTTTCTTCGTCAAAGCTATAGACATACAATTCTCAGTTCGTGACATTGAGAAAAGAATGGAGCAAAAAATCAAGTCGATTGGTTCGTGGGGTTATTTATTTTTTTATTTTAAAAGGAACGACCGGTCGGCGGTAGAGGGCGGTTCGAAAACGCACGCGACCTGCTAGGCAGATCACGGCTCACAAACTTCACAAGTGAGTCTTCATTGTTTCATCACCCCTCGGGGTCTTGGGTGATATCGTAATCACCCTCGAATTATTTTTCCATTTGTACACCCGTGACCCTGCATTTGTGTATTTTGTCTAGGTACCCAGAAATAAAAGGGTTGCTCTCGCACGCGATCTCTGATTTCTCACCTACTTGACCATTCCAGTGTTTAAATTGCGCTTGGATGTAAGTTAAAAAGGCAATTTTCATACCGACTTATTTTTTTATATTCCACAGTTCCAATTTCAAAATAAAAATAAATCTAATTACACAGGGCTCGAACTAGGTCCGTAAATCCTGTAAAAGTCCGTAAATTTGTAGACAAAGTTCGCTCAAAACATAATTTTTCATCTTCTGCTGATCATCGGCTGTGGTTACTTTTTGTGAATTGTAAATTAAATTAATTTTGATGACCCAGATATTAATTGGAATTGTTCTAGTAATAGCAGGGTTCCTACAGAATCTGGAAATCATGGAAATGGTATGGAATTTTTAAAAGGTTTCTGGAAATCAGGGAAATCATGGAAAAGAACTGGAATTTTAAAAGTTTATAAATTTTTCCTGTTTTCCATTTTATCTCTTGAATAGAAATTCAAATAATAAAAAAGTTAAATCCCATAAAGGAGAGGAAAAAATGTTGAATTTTAAGAAATTCGGTTTTTCGAATTTTTGATAATTTTCGATAATTTTAGATTTTTTACCAAAGAGTCGAGACTATTAAATAAGTAAAGTATTTTCCAAGAGCACACAAATAATGAAGCTAAATCCCATAAAAGAGAGGAAAAAATGTTGAATTTTAAGAAATTCGGATTTTTGAATTTTAGATAATTTTCGATAATTTTAGATTTTTTACGAAAGCGTCGAGACCATTAAATAAGTAAAGTATTTTCCAAAAGCACAAAAATAATGAAGCTAAATCCCATAAAGGAGAGAAAAAAAGGTTGAATTTTAAGAAATTCGGTTTTTCGAATTTTTGATAATTTTCAATAATTTTAGATTTTTTACCAAAGAGTCGAGACTATTAAATAAGTAAAGTATTTTCCAAAAGCACAAAAATAATGAAGCTAAATCCCATAAAGGAGAGGAAAAAATGTTGAATTTTAAGAAATTCGGTTTTTCGAATTTTTGATAATTTTCGATAATTTTAGATTTTTTACCAAAGAGTCGAGACTATTAAATAAGTAAAGTATTTTCCAAGAGCACACAAATAATGAAGCTAAATCCCATAAAAGAGAGGAAAAAATGTTGAATTTTAAGAAATTCGGTTTTTTGAATTTTTGATAATTTTCGATAATTTTAGATTTTTTACCAAAGAGTCGAGACCATTAAATAAGTAAAGTATTTTCCAAAAGCACAAAAATAATAAAGCTAAATCCCATAAAAGAGAGGAAAAAATGTTGAATTTTAAGAAATTCGGTTTTTTGAATTTTTGATAATTTTCGATAATTTTAGATTTTTTACCAAAGAGTCGAGACTATTAAATAAGTAAAGTATTTTCCAAGAGCACACAAATAATGAAGCTAAATCCCATAAAAGAGAGGAAAAAATGTTGAATTTTAAGAAATTCGGATTTTTGAATTTTAGATAATTTTCGATAATTTTAGATTTTTTACGAAAGCGTCGAGACTATTAAATAAGTAAAGTATTTTCCAAGAGCACACAAATAATGAAGCTAAATCCCATAAAAGAGAGGAAAAAATGTTGAATTTTAAGAAATTCGGATTTTTGAATTTTAGATAATTTTCGATAATTTTAGATTTTTTACGAAAGCGTCGAGACTATTTAATAAGTAAAGTATTTTCCAAAAGCACAAAAATAATAAAGCTAAATCCCATAAAGGAGAGGAAAAAATGTTGAATTTTAAGAAATTCGGTTTTTCGAATTTTTGATAATTTTCGATAATTTTAGATTTTTTACCAAAGAGTCGAGACTATTAAATAAGTAAAGTATTTTCCAAGAGCACACAAATAATGAAGCTAAATCCCATAAAAGAGAGGAAAAAATGTTGAATTTTAAGAAATTCGGATTTTTGAATTTTAGATAATTTTCGATAATTTTAGATTTTTTACGAAAGCGTCGAGACTATTTAATAAGTAAAGTATTTTCCAAGAGCACAAAAATAATGAAGCTAAATCCCAAAAAGGAGAGGAAAAAATGTTGAATTTTAAGAAATTCGGTTTTTCGAATTTTTGATAATTTTAGATAATTTTAGATTTTTTACCAAAGAGTCGAGACCATTAAATAAGTAAAGTATTTTCCAAAAGCACAAAAATAATGAAGCTAAATCCCATAAAGGAGAGAAAAAAAGGTTGAATTTTAAGAAATTCGGTTTTTCGAATTTTTGATAATTTTCAATAATTTTAGATTTTTTACCAAAGAGTCGAGACTATTAAATAAGTAAAGTATTTTCCAAAAGCACAAAAATAATGAAGCTAAATCCCATAAAGGAGAAGAAAAAATGTTGAATTTTAAGAAATTCGGTTTTTCGAATTTTTGATAATTTTCGATAATTTTAGATTTTTTACCAAAGAGTCGAGACTATTAAATAAGTAAAGTATTTTCCAAAAGCACAAAAATAATGAAGCTAAATCCCATAAAGGAGAAGAAAAAATGTTGAATTTTAAGAAATTCGGTTTTTCGAATTTTTGATAATTTTCGATAATTTTAGATTTTTTACCAAAGAGTCGAGACTAATAAATAAGTAAAGTATTTTCCAAAAGCACAAAAATAATGAAGCTAAATCCCATAAAGGAGAGGAAAAAATGTTGAATTTTAAGAAATTCGGTTTTTCGAATTTTTGATAATTTTCGATAATTTTAGATTTTTTACCAAAGAGTCGAGACTATTAAATAAGTAAAGTATTTTCCAAAAGCACAAAAATAATGAAGCTAAATCCAATAAAGGAGAGGAAAAAATGTTGAATTTTAAGAAATTCGGTTTTTCGAATTTTTGATAATTTTCGATAATTTTAGATTTTTTACCAAAGAGTCGAGACTATTAAATAAGTAAAGTATTTTCCAAAAGCACAAAAATAATGAAGCTAAATCCCATAAAGGAGAGGAAAAAATGTTGAATTTTAAGAAATTCGGTTTTTCGAATTTTTGATAATTTTCGATAATTTTAGATTTTTTACCAAAGAGTCGAGACTATTAAATAAGTAAAGTATTTTCCAAAAGCACAAAAATAATGAAGCTAAATCCCATAAAGGAGAGGAAAAAATGTTGAATTTTAAGAAATTCGGTTTTTCGAATTTTTGATAATTTTCGATAATTTTAGATTTTTTACCAAAGAGTCGAGACTATTAAATAAGTAAAGTATTTTCCAAAAGCACAAAAATAATGAAGCTAAATCCCATAAAGGAGAGGAAAAAATGTTGAATTTTAAGAAATTCGTATTTTTGAATTTTTGATAATTTTCGATAATTTTAGATTTTTTACCAAAGATTCGAGACTATTAAATAAGTAAAGTATTTTCCAAAAGCACAAAAATAATGAAGCTAAATCCAATAAAGGAGAGGAAAAAATGTTGAATTTTAAGAAATTCGTATTTTTGAATTTTTGATAATTTTCGATAATTTTAGATTTTTTACCAAAGATTCGAGACTATTAAATAAGTAAAGTATTTTCCAAAAGCACAAAAATAATGAAGCTAAATCCAATAAAGGAGAGGAAAAAATGTTGAATTTTAAGAAATTCGTATTTTTGAATTTTTGATAATTTTCGATAATTTTAGATTTTTTACCAAAGAGTCGAGACTATTAAATAAGTAAAGTATTTTCCAAAAGCACAAAAATAATGAAGCTAAATCCCATAAAGGAGAGGAAAAAATGTTGAATTTTAAGAAATTCGGTTTTTCGAATTTTTGATAATTTTCGATAATTTTAGATTTTTTACCAAAGAGTCGAGACTATTAAATAAGTAAAGTATTTTCCAAAAGCACAAAAATAATGAAGCTAAATCCCATAAAGGAGAGGAAAAAATGTTGAATTTTAAGAAATTCGGTTTTTTCGAATTTTTGATAATTTTC